AAAGGCTTCAAACTGATAGAGGGTAGGTTTATATTAGATACTATGAATTCGTTACTGTAAGACTGGTGAGAACAGTACTGGAACAGGCTTCCCAGAGAAGCTGTGGATGCCCCATCTCTGGAGATGCTCAAGGCCAGGTAGGATGGGGCTTTAAACAACCTTATCTAGGAAGATATCCCTGCTTACAGCAGAGAGGGCTGCAGTAGATTATCCTTAAGGTCCCTTGAAACCCAAACCATTCTGTTTCTATACAGCAAGGCACCAGTTGGGCCAGCTACTTCAGCTGGACCCAGTACACAGCTTTTCCTCAGCCTTTAAATTCAGGTTAAATACCACACTGACACAACTACAAGCAGAATTCTTGGATTCAAACCAAACCAAAACTATGCAGATAAAATCCAACTGGTTGTAAAAGGACAATAAAAAGTTTTTAGAAAACCAAAAAGAACCCACCACTAATACGTTTTAGGAGCATCCACGAAAATTTTTCTATACTTTGCATAGTCAGTTGGCATTATCTTTGTATCTGTAAGAGGATTAAACACAATACCTATTTTAAATACAATGGTTATTAAAAAATCATAGAACATGACAAGGCTCTGATTTTCCCTTCAGTTTAGCAAAGCATCCAATGATATGAGCATTTCCCAATTAGATTTTTCCAAAGGATGAAAATTTCGAATACCCAAACTCTTGAAAAAATCAGTATCTGAGATCAGTTGCAGGAGCTCAGTTTATTGCAGGCCATCACAAATGCTGTTCTAGTTACTGAAACTAAGAGCTGCCTCACTAAGCAGCCGTTATCAGGCCTCCCAACACCCAAGAAACTCCAAAAAAGTGGCAAGAAGATACAGCAGATACAGGACTCCTCCACAGACAGACATGCACACAAACACACCAAGTGCAACCCCTCCTCTACTCTCAGGGCAGTACAATGATGTCTCCTATTCCCTTTGCTTCATAGAACAGTTATCTGTTTAGCCAAGAAAATAGGAAACAACTTTTTTAAGCATTACGACAGTCCTGGTAAAACACAGCCTGCAGATCTGTCCCTGTGAAGGTATCCATCTGCCATCTGAACAACTTCTTAGCACTGCCCCAGCACCTCTGCCCTCTCTGGGCACTGAGAGCAGAAGCTCTCCTCCCGCGTCTTCTTCTGTGCAGTACATGAGATGTATGGGAAAGATCAGTGTGGCCACACCAGTACAGTATTAACTTTATTGGCAACTGTGTAAAACCTGGCCTTCTGCTTTATTAGTGATGCTGAACTAATTTTTTTTTTTGTATGAAAATTTTTAAGCAGCATTCACTGCAGCAATTCTGCTTTTTCTGTTAGTCATCTCTAAAACTGGAATAATCTCCTCAGTGCTTGGATTTAATTCTATTTTTGCTCCTCCAGGGGCAGATCACAACTGAGCCACACATGTTAACTCAATACACAATAATTAGAAATTTTAGCTATTAATCATTTAACAACACCAAGTAGCAACTGCATGACACTAAGCTTAATGATTTTCCTGAAAACAAGAAAGAGTAACTGGAAGGTAGAAGAGGGGATACATGAACTCATAGACTTAACAAATCCAACAAACTTTCTCCTCTTGATGACAAGACATAAATAAGATCCTCTACTTGTATCTCTGTAGGGAACAGAGCACTAGTACATAGATGTTCACAGGAGCACCTCAAGGCAGGCAGGAAGGGGCAGGCAGGACAAAGGCACTTGGTTGAACAGCAGTGAATTATTCACACTGATCAGTGCTGCAGTCAGCCCCTACTGGAGACAGGCAAACTCACACTCCCTCAGCCTCACCACCAGCCTTCATTTTATGAGGCTTCATAACTGTCTGTAATCAATATCTTTTCTTCGGTCATTCTGATAAACGTCCAGTGGCCTAGATAGGACATCCCACAAACTGGAACAGGTGTAGCTTTTCAGCATTGCTCTGACCTTCCAATGTAATTGAGAATCAAACTCAGGCCTATCACTTGGAAAATTCAGGAAAAACAAAGGAATAGGAAATTGATTATTTCAGTCCACAATGTAGGAGTGATAGGATTTCCTGTGAACACTGCTTGGCATGAAATCATACACTGAAACTCACCAGTTGTTCCCACTTACACTCAAGAGGGGCTACCCAGACATGTATCATATATCATGTTATCATATATCAAGTTGCCCTATTAATACAAGATAGGTCAAGCATCACCCAAAACTTCAAGCAAGTTCTGTTACACTACAGTTGTAACACATCTATACACCTTTTCGAAGAAAAATCACCAAGGATCAGTCCTCCTCATAGGCAAAAATATTTGAAGACATTGTGAAAGGATTCATATGAAATAAATAATTGAAGCTTTAAGATCAGGTGAAAGTCTCATGAGCAATTAACAGATGTAAAGCCCTTGCTTTTCATTTGGAGCTACTAGAGGAAAGAACTTCACGATATGGCTGTCTTTGCACATTGGTACTATCCACATATTACTGCTGCAGAGTCTTGGTACAGAATGCCCCACCACTCTTTCACCCAGAGCAGCTGATAAAACTTGTGATCAATCACATGTTCAGAGGTCAACTGTGCCAGCATATGAAAGGTATAGGAAAAGTCTAGCATCATCTCACATGGAGTTTGCTTAGGTTATGGTAACATTTGACACCAGCATTCCAGCAGCCTCATTAACACTTGACCAGATGGCATCAAACTGACAATCCAGATTGCAGGCATGCACTTAGTATGCTTGTCAAGGGACAGAGGGAGTTGTCTAACTGCATAACTGACACAAACACACGAGGGAGTCTGTAAATAGAGGTAAACTAAGATGAAAGTCTTCTGCAAACACACAGCCTCGTTTTTTATGTCACAAAAATTCACCTCTCCTTGTAGCTTAATTGATGTAAAAGCCATAGAGCTTTGACAGCGTTATCCTTTCCCTCAAAGAATTTGCTTATGGGGCCATCATGAGCCTTTGCACATCATATAGTTCAAGAGGGCTTGCAACAAGAGCCAAGAAAAATCTATAGCCAGCTGGCAGTGCCTGGGAACGTTTGCAATCTTTCTGTTCAGTTTACTGGATTTCTCCTCCCCCGCTCACCCCTCCCAGTGCTTCAAAAGAAACTCAACTGACATTTTTATTACTATGAAGAGATGAAACCTGAGTTACATTTCCCTATAAAGCAGGAAATGCTGTCTAGCAAAGCCTCTGCAGATCACCTCTCCTTGCAGAGGTTACACAGCCCCAGCAGACTCACCTGCCTCTAACTAAAGGTAGTTAACATCTGGTAAGTCTCCAAATATTCCCCAAGCCAGCCCACACCAGCCAAGGTCTACTTGCACAGGCTGTCACTGCGACTGTTTTAGAGGAAAGCTTAGTGATGTGTCTGACTCAAGACTGAATTTTTGGGGGCCTAGACAAGGTGGCATTTCCAATCTGAATAATACCCATTTTTGCAATGAAAACTTGAATTCAAAAGTTATGGGTCCTCTACTGTAAGATCTTTTATAATTATTCTCCACACAGGCAGATAGGATTTGGGGTTATTATATACCTGTCAACTTCTCTCATGTAATTCTAAGGGAAGCTGATGCATTCACTTCTGCTGAATCATTCAAGATGAACAATAAGTGCCAAGGAATAAATAAGGAATTAAGTTATACTCCAGAGACAGAAGTTTGTTTACTTTAAGGACTTTCCCTATCTCCTTTTCAAACTTCTTCAAAGATACAACCTGCTTTTTGTGCAAATACTCAAGCCTTATCAGCAAGTAACAGGAAATTAACTGCTAACTGCAACAGGGCACCTTTTCCTTCTTTTTGCATTCTCACCACCAACAGTAACAGCACAGGGCTATCTGTCCTGCCCTACAAGTCATGCATAAATTTTAAAGTCTTCATTTTTTCAATGCAAAAACAATGCAGAACTTGTTTTAACCTTTTAGCTCTCCATAGCTAAAGAAGGTGTTGAATGGGAAGCAACCAAAACTACTGTAAATGGAAAAGGGAGGTAAAGGTACAAAGACCCTCAGTGAGTGGTACTTGTCCTCCATCTACTCTCAGGTAAGAAAATGCAAGTGCTCCTGTCACACAACTTGTTCCCAACTTAGCTCTTCACTTATCAGACTGACTCCAAAATTAGTTGTCTTTTACTGTGTTAAATACTTATTCCTACTACTATGTTTAGTACGATCAGGTACTTAATGCATGTAATTAGCTCAGAACTTTACATGACCAACACCACCCTGAGCTTGTGTAAAGGGTTCTTTAACACAGATACTGGAAGTCAAAAGTCTATCAGCCTTCAGATGCTGATGCATCTAGTTCTTCCTCGCCTCTCTCTGTATCGGTGAGCGTGTACAAAACCATGTTAAAACAACATCTAAAAAAATATTTCTGAAAGCAAGATCAATACCTAAAAAACCCATCATTTTTGGCCAGTGATATAGTCAAGCACTCAGAAGTAAAAATTCCTTCCCATTTCAGTCTGGAAGGTGAGAAGCTATAGAGTCTGCTTTTAGGTAAGAACTGGTAAGGAATGTTGCCACTTAGAGCAAGTTAGGTTATCTCAAAATCAACCTGTACCTCCCCCAACCCAACCTAAGAATTCAAACCCTTTATCCAGTTGTCATTTCTACACATTTCGTAAGTCATGCACCACCTGCTAGTTGACTTCTTCCAGTGTCAGGAACATGTAGGTTTCCAACTGACATCTTGTGTGCAAGACTCAGAGAGTTCCACTGCTCTACAGCAATTCTCCGCATTTTCCCCAGTTGAGATTTGGAATACTTAGGTTCTTCAGTATGAATTCCTTTTGCAGACTCTGGACTCTTTTGTCCAGTTGTGTTGCAACAGTGCCAAGAAAAGCCTAACAGGGCTACCAGTAAAATGCTGGGGAGTTAATACTTTGATTCACACGTGTCACTCTCCAGACAGAGGAGAAGTCCCATGAACCAGTTAATCCCCATCTGTGTTTATGGAATTCAAAATTTAAATGAAATTACTCTGTTATATGAATAGTTGTTTATTCAGCCATTCTTTGCATTTTACAGCTGGAATTCTGGAAACTCAAACACCACATCTTTGCCTGTGAGCTTCTTGTACACACCAGAAAATGTTTCCACCTGTGAAGACAAATAAATCTTGCTTATACATGCTGCATAAATAAGTAATTCTAAGTTAACATACTTAAGGTACTATACTATTTGCCAGTGTATCTTCACTCTGAGGCCAATTATTTTTTTCTAGATTAAGGTCGCTGAGGATTTACACAAAAGATACATTTCCTCTAGAGCATTTGGGCTCTCTCTGATTTTCAACAATGTGAGACCCTGAGAGCTGAGCAGGCCCAAACACAAGCCTCTCATTTCACCCTGCCAGAAAAAAACCAAACGAAATGCAGGCTCTACTGAACACATCTGTTTAAGGTCAAAACTAAGTGCTTCACTTGAAAAACAACAAAAACAGAAACAAACCCAACCAACCCCTATTCACACAAAAAACCCAATGAAACACTGTCTGGTCCCATGAGGGAACTACTTTATAATCCAGGGGCTTTGGCAAGTTGAACTAGAGCTTTAGTTCAAAACTGCCTCGCCTCTATTTCCAGCACCTTACTCCAAATACAAACCGAAGCATCTCCACAAGCCAAAAGGCAAGTCTTTTGTTGTATCCCTAAGCAGACTCTTGGGGATGTCAGAATGTCACTCCCAACTGCATGAGAAATAAGTTTTTTTATTTACCTTGTGTTCAACATTGTTCTGTTGTGCTTTGTCCAGATGGACTTTTATAAGCCTGCTGCCGTCCAGTTTTACGCGGATTCTCTTGCCCACGATTTCACTTGGGAAGACCAGGTCCTCGAGAATAGCATCGTGCACTGCAGTAAGCGTACGGCTGAAATGCCACATTGATATCATTAAAACACATCCTCTTGAAAAATTTCCAGTTTGACAAGGTTTAAATCTTCCACAGCATGCTTTGGCTGAAAATTCAGTGGCGTTTATTCTCTTTAATGCCACAGTGTAACAATACAGCACTATCACAGGACATGCAAAAAGAAAAGATAAATTCTACAGAGTGCAGAAACTTAATGACTGCACAAGAAAAAGTAGCCAAGTTTCTGACCTTTTAGATCACACATTGACTTAAGGCAAGAGCCTTGAAACATTATTCTATTTCTACACATTTAATAAATATTTAAATCAAAACCAAATTGCTCCTTCGGCAACTCTGCCAGAGACACTGACTGGAAAAGTTTAAGTTTGTAAGTAACCTCAGCTGCACAGAGTACATTCATGGGAGACCCAGTTTTGGAAACACTGGTTTCTTCATCTACCTAAACCCAAGCAGCTTAGAAGACCAATGTAATACAGAAAAAGACTAGCTGGACAATTTGAGTCCCTGCTTAGAAGACTGCTTGAAATCTGCATGTGTGTTCCTGAACTGTCCAGAAGTGAGCCAACAAGAGAAAAGGTGGCCCAGGTTATTTTACGCAAGTCTAGAGGATTAGTAAGTCTTACAATCCACAGCATCCTGATCCACAGTTTCAGGGCAGTACCACTAGTAACTAACACCTGTGTCTACAGCACCACTTCACACCTGCCCAGACTGGCACAGCTAAGGGACACAGACATCCACAACAACACAGCAGCCTGATCTCATCTCAGGCTGAGACAGGGGCAGTCCTGCACACCTGCTTTTCCTCATGCAGAAAAGCGGTAGGCAGCGTGCTCCTCAGACACAAATGCCAACTTCTCCAACCACTGTGATAGTTAAAAGAACACAGGCAGAGTCTTCCAAAGGCAGGACTGTAGCTAGATGAATATTGTGAAATTGTACTTTTAAAATCCATGCCTGAAGACTGCAAAATACAGTAACACACGACACGGGTATAATACTGGGGGGGGACAGGGAGAAGCTACAATATGCCACATGTCATAAAGAGGACAAACTTTTAAGACATGGATTTACATAATGATATAGCAACATACAGATGAGGCACTGACATCCACAGAGACGTAGCAGTGTTGCATGTCTAGCAATCCAGTGACTAGATGAGAGCAGAGAGGCCATTTAACAGAAATGGCTATACTCTTGCTATCAAATTCATATCCAGAGGGACTAGTAATTGTACCTACACCCCTTCTCAGCCACTCTCTCCCTCATTGCATTCCTTTAAGTGTGCCAGCCTTGACTTCTGCACACAGTCTAACATGTGATGTGGAAGAGTTTCTTACTACAACTTTAAAAAAAATAGTTCTTGTCAGCACACTGTGGTAACAGAGACAGCAGGTTGGGGCTCCTTAAACCAACACTGCTAGGTAAAAATTTGCTACAACTGTAACTGGAAATACAAATCGAGTGCTAAGAAATGCAACACAGTGCCCAAAAGTGACCTTTCTACTGAACACTTTAGCAGTCAAATGACAGATACAAAGCAATATTTCAAGCAGTAAGAGAAAGGACAAGACCAGCCAATCACTTGAATGACTTCTCAAAAACTCAACTAACCATTACTTGACTCAACTACCAGGTACAAAAGAAGGCTGTCAGACTGAATCAGTATCATTTACCAACCTCCTCGGACGCTTTTGCTTGTTTTTTGTGCGGCTTTTTCTTGTTGGCTTGGGCAGAATCCTTCTCTGTTAAGGCAAGAGAAGAACAAAAAGGCAGTTCTCAGTTATCTGGTGGTCACAATGAACTCAGAAACATGCACCTTTTCATGCAAACCAATGCGTGAAAAGCCAAAAAGGTAGACTTAAGTACGCTTAAAGTTACATCAGCATTAGAAACTAGAAAACTAGAGTTGCCTACAGAAAGTGAAGTGCTGTACTGCTATATTTCTCAATTACTACTCCTGTATTCAGCGCACTGAAATAGAAGATTTGTACTTCATCCCCTCTCTCCATGAACACAACCACAGTAGTTTACTATGTCTCATCAGCACTGTGAACGCACTTCTTTGGGAACAGAAATCCCAGGGAATTTCAACTTCTGTTAGACTAAGCTGCTGGTGCAAACCAGAGTAGTGAGCTCAGTTCCACAGACAGCTAGGTGACATCTGAGACTGAAATGCTAGTTTTAAAATAAGATGTATTGCACAGTCCACATCAAATACTGGCTTAAGTATAACCTGTTCCAAATTAGGATCTAAATGTTAGGTCAGTAAAACTTATTTTCTACTTTCCTACTGCAAGTGTAGATGTTTTAAAGCATTCTAGATGCAGTTTATTTCTGCATTAAAAGTTTTAGCCACCTGCAGTATTTTCTACCATCACATCACAGCTTCTCCATGATTGTATTCGTGATGGGGTTACCATTATCCAAACTGGGTCATGTCATAATCAAAATCACATGTTCCCTTCTAAAGTAGATTACTGAATTGAAAAAATTCTTAAGAGTTACAGAATCACAGAATCTAAAAAAAAAAAATTAAAAAAAAAAACCACTGAATATGCTGAGTTGGAAGAGACCAACAAGGACCATCAAGACCAGCTCCTGACCCTGCACAGAACATTCCCACAAGTCACACTATGTGCCATAAAGTATTGCAGAAACACCTCACAGCACTGTGTCAGGCTGGTGCTGTGACCACTTCCCAGTGCTCAACCACCCTCTGGGTCAAGAACCTTTAGGTGAAGTGAGCCAAAGGCACTTCATTAAAATAAATCTTCTTGGCCATATAAAGATTCAGGGTAAGGTGCTCTGGCTCTACAAATTTCATGAAAAATTTTCAGCTAGCTTCAGTTTAACCAATTATCCACTCTGCAGACAGATCCCTAGTTTGTCCAACCCTTAAGTACTGGCCAGAGATCCCTGCAACACCTTTTCACCTTAGCTCCTGCCATATATTTAGAACTTGCATGAGTTTTTTTTCCTTCTTTCCTAGTAACTTAAATTTTAAGCGCCTAGATCATCTAAGTGTAGCAAAGTTCCTAATAATATTTGCTCCCTTTTATTTTAAACTTTGTATGTAAAACTTATGACGGAGTAAGAGGCCAGAGCAAGAAAGTTATATCCTCCATGAAACAACTTTACATCTCACCAAGTTTCTACTGCTGCCAGCTGAAAACATTTTAGCTAGCATCCACCAGACATCCATTACATTTCCTGCTGGTACAATGAATTACTGTCACTGTTACCTTGAATGGGTAATGCAACACTGGAACATGCGTGAGCCTGGACTAGATCACCCCCAGATATCCCTTCAAATCAACATTTTTGTGATTCTAAGCGTTTTTTTTTTTTTTTACCTGAGCAATGAACACCACATGTTTTCCACTAAATTTCTTCTCCAGCTCCCGAACTAGCCGCACCTGAATCTTCTGGAAGGACTTCAGCTGAGGAACTGGTACAAAGATAATGATGGCTTTTCTGCCACCACCTACTTCAATTTCCTGAAACAAAAGTACAAAGTAAGCATTAGCTGGGGGTTGAGAAGTAATGTTTGGTTTGACCATGAATCCTAAGCACAGGTATTGATAGTCTTGCTTCTGACTCTGTAGGGCAGGGAGTGCCTCAGAGAGCAGTACCTGCCTTAATGCTCTACAGACACAGCATTGACAGAAACACTTTTATCAGAGTACTCGTTTTGCTGTGGAGCGATTGGGCAATAAATCCCACCACCCCTTTCAGAATCACATCCTCTGAATAAGCCCATTCCCTCTGCAAGATGAGACTCAGGTGCTAGAACTACAACTATACTGAATGTTCACTATCCCTGCTGCAGTTGTGCTGATACAAAGTTTCAAAAGCTATTTGCCTCCAAGGCAGACTCCAGACAAAGTTTAGGGCAACAAATCACTTACTTATAATCTACTGTTCCATGGAAATCACCTTCTGTCAGCCATTTGCCTAGGACTACATCACTGATCAATCAAAACATTTGTCACCCCTCCACATACCAACAGGATTACAATACACTAGGACAGGTTACTTCTCCCCTGGTTTGTCTCTCCAGTAAGTTGAAACCCTAAGTTTGCATAGGCTTACAAGGCAGTTCTCCCATGAAACTGGCTGCAGAGACATCCTCATTCTCCAACAGAATGGAAGGATGCATCATTCTTCACCAGCTGCCTTCTCATATGAGCCAACTCAGATGCCCATGGGAGATTTCTCATAAATAAAATCAAGCAGCTAAGTAAACAACAAAGACTTTTCTAAAAGCGTTTTACTGAGGACAACTGGCATTGCTGTACTTTAAGAGAGATGTGGTTTCTTCTGAAGGCTGTTCAGCTCATACACCATACATGCTGCTTTCTGCATTCCCAGATTCTTTTTAACTCAACTCTAAGCAGTCAGGTCCCTGTGTCGGTACAGGTAAGCCTGAGCAAAAGCCAAAGGCAGCCCATTAAAGTTTCTGATTGCAGTGACCTGCTTCATTGCTGCCATCCAGTCTCCCAGGCTGAGAAATTCTAACACTAACTTTCTTTCTCCTTTTCCACTAATTGCCTTCTTCTTTTTCTTTCTTGATGCTTCAGCCGCCTGCATGATCTAAAACTGGAAATATACAAGGAGGCCAAGCTACACTATCAAGTCAGTCTATTGCCTCAATCCACCTACCACCTACTAACTGCACATAAGAGAATCACAACAATTTTGGTTTTTATGAAGAGTATTGTAGTTTATGTTTCTAAGTTTCTGTAACACCTACATTTCCAGCCAGTATCAACATGCAAAAAGCCAGCTTCACACCCCAAACCCAGTCTGCAGAGACATAAAGGAGAATCATTGTTTTCAAACACTTTTATTTAACATACTAAATTGCTCTTTGGGCTTTTACAGTGATTTTTCAGATTAGTTCCTAAGAAAAACACTATTATGGGATCCTATGTGCTAGCAGCAAATACCAGAAGATAAGCTACAACAGCCCATAACAAAACTATCACAAGCAATAAGGACTCAAGACACCATTCACCTACTACATTAATATCCACAAAAATTAAACATACACAGAACAAGTCACCCAGCTCTTAGTGGAGAAGGTCCAGCCTACCTTAGCTGCTGTGATGTTCAACTCCCGCAGCTGAGCCTTTAAGTCGGAGTTCATTTCCAACTCCAGCAGAGCCTACAAAAGTGAAGTTGTGGAATAATCCTTTACATACACTTCAGTTCATGAGAACACTTGAGACCAAAGTGTGTCCACAGTGTCAAAGAGCAGGTATAGACTTTTAACCACAGTCAATATCAAAGACTTAACTTCCTGTAAAACACACCAACATCCAACAAGTTTAACTAATGGAAAAGAGGTTGACTCAGTTCCCAAGTAAAATCAGGAAAGAAAAGACGTTGACAGGATCAACCTCAAAGTTTAGGGGCCGGACAACTGTATCTATAACTTGGAGTTACCGGAGAGAACAAGGAAAAGCCACGTACCTGGGATATACCAGACTCGAACTCATCTGGCTTTTCGCCATTAGGCTTCACGATCTTGGCGCTAGAGCTGAACATGGCCTTTCTGCAACGCAAAAGAACACTTCGGCTGTCACTAAGCACGTGTCACCTGTTCCAAACACAGCCAGGACTCTCCAATCCGGCTGCGCAGCCACACGCTCCAAAACGAAGCCGGAGGACGCCCCACGGGCCGGGCCAGGCCCAGCACGTCGCACCAGGGGTGACTACCCGGCCACAGGAGAAGCGTCCCAGGGAGCGCGGGGCCTGCCCACCTCGGGGCCCGCTGCAAGGCCCCGGGAGCCCAGGGAAGCGGCACCGCCACGCAGAGCCCCACGAGTGGCTCGACGGGCGAGCGGCGCTCCCGGGCCCTGCTCCCGGCCCCGGCCCCTCCTCCCACAGGGCGCCGCCGACCGAGGGAGGAGGGAAACCCCGCCGGCTGGCCACCCCCGGCCCCGGGCGCCCCGGCGGCCATCGGGCCCCGCACTGGCGGTAATCGGGCGCATCCCCACACCGCGGTGCCGCAGGGAGCCCCGCTCCACGCCCGGTCCCGTATCGCGGCGGCCCCAGCGGGGAAACGGCGGCCCCGGCCCGGGCACCCACCTCGCTCCGCGCCGGCTGGGAAAAGGGGGAGCTCTCGCGAGAGCAACACAGATCGCGGCCCGGGAAGGCGCTGGCCCCGCCCACCCCGAGTGAAGCCAGAGGCGGAAGAAGGGCAGGGCGGGCGCTGCGAGCACACCGCCAATCGGCTGCAGCGAAGCCCGAGCGGACATATAGGGTCCTGGCGCGGGGAGGGCGGGCTGGCACATGCGCAGTGCCGTGGAGCGCGGCGGGCGGTGGGAAATGGGAGATGCCCTCCCGTCTCGCCTCAGCCTTTTGCGCTTCCTGCGGCAGGGAGAGGAGAAGAGGGAGGAGAAGGCTTCTCTGCTCGGCTCAGTCCCTCGCTGTTGCGCTGAGCCTTCGCCGTGGGACGCCCGCGCCGCACCTCTCACAGGCAAAACTCTCGGCCCCTGGTGTCGAAATGCCGCTCCTGTGAAGAGCCGCCAGAATGTCGGCCTTGGCAGCGCGGCGCGCTCGGGTTGCGCAGCCCGCGGAGCAAGCGCGGCTCTGCCTCCGCCGCGGAGCTCCCTCTCCCTCTCCCTCTCTCCCTTTCCCTGCCTCCCGCCAGGACTGTGCAGGACGGTAGCAGCCACCGCTCGAGCAGCAGTGGGAGACTGGATGGTGTTTTCCCCTGCCCTCTCCGTTACACCATTCCACGTTAATTTAGTGGTGTGGAGTTCACCCGTTCAAGGCGGCAGAGACGTGTGGAGCAGTGCTGGCTTCCCTATTTGCAGATTCAGGTTTCTTGTTCAAGAGTAAGTCCCACTTGGAGGCAGGTGCGCAACTCTTTGCGCATACTGTCCAGGGATGTTAGGCCCAGGAATGGCGTTCGGAGCACTGGTTCTGTGCTCAGATTCCCTAGATTACCCCAAGAGCAGCTAGCTTAACTTTGTACAAACACATTTGCTATTAGCATGAAATGCTGTGTGTAGTCTGTTACTTCACAAAATGCAATAGTGGAGTAATAAACCCTTGTAAACAAAAAACTGACAAAGACACCAACATCCCAGACTAAACAACCTTACCATCTGCAAAATGCAGCTCATCATATTTTCTAACATTTGTGGACTTTTCACTAAATTTATGATAGCCAGAAAAACAGGTTGTTCGGTGCCCATTTTTCTCCCAAGTCACTCTTCTTTCCTAGCATTAATTCAATGAACAGGAAAAACTGCTCAGCTCATACTAATGGCCAGGATTAGTATTTATAGAGATCTGGTTTGGCTAAACAGCAGTGATCAGGACCTGATTGAAGAGTACCAAAAAGAAAGATAACAAGGAATCGTCTCATCAGTCCAGTAGTATGCACTCAATTTATATTGAGAAGCCACTCAGGGAGAAAGAACAGGTGATATGTGGGTGGATCAAAACATGACTGTTCAGAGCATTCATGAATAAAAATGGGACTATCTTCAGCTTCCCATCTCAATGTTTTGGGTGCTGAACAGACCAGGATGCTGCGTAATAGCAATGAGAAAAAAAGGTGTAGAGACGTGTTTCCTCTTGGACACTGAATTTATGTTAGGAGAAGGATGTAGAGTGGTCAATGTGCCTGGTACCCAATAATGCCTGGTACTCAAAATAACTGACAGGTTTTTAAGATCCACTGTGGACCTGTGATCTTTAAAATAAGTTACATCACTACAAAGTAATGTAATTAAGAAGGTTCTTATGGCATTCCGTCTCAGAATGGGCACGATGAAGAAGTGGAGAGAATAAATTAGTCAGATGTGTAACAAAAGTATCCCAACAGCAATAGGATGCTATGAGTATATGAAGTCTCATGAATGTGTTGGAAGAAGTAAGGAAAATGCAGTAATTATATTTTCATACAACCTTTACCAAGTTGTTTCTTTCTTCCACCAAGGGCTATCAAATACATAAGCTCTTCAGGTTTGGAGATTTTTTAAGAGAAATGTTATCCCGCTAATACACATAGTAATTATGTGTAATGTTGAGACCATTTGTTGGTTTTGCAACAGAAGGCAAAATTCACACCAGTGTTACACATTCTTGGCATTTTGCTGGGCCACCCTTGTAGGTCTGGACACAACACTGCAGCTCTGGCACCATGTGGTCAGCTTTGTCCCAGGGATCTGTACTGGAGCTATGAGGGAAGCACAACAGCAGCTTGGATACCTTGGGCTGTATTTGGAGGTGGCCACACCAGTGCCCCCATCCTTGCTACTCTGATCTTGTCAGAAGCTCAGGTACTGAATTTGGCACACACCGAGCTCGCAGCTTTGGTATCCCAGTACATGACAGTCCAGGTGGTAAGAGGATGGTGCCAGACTCTCTTTGGGGCTGTTCAGTGACAGGATGAGGAGTAGTGGCTACAAACTAAAACATGAGAAGTTTCACCTCAACATGATGAAGAACTTTTTTATATTGAGAGTGGCAGCTGCCTGGGGAGACTGTGGACTTTCCCTCTCTGGACACTTTCAAAACCCACCAGGACATGCTCCTGTGTCACCCGCAGCAGCAGACCCTGCCACGGCAGATGATGTCCTGAGGTCCCTCCCAACCCGAACGACCCTGCGATTCCGTGAAGGTGTTTGTCCTCACTCCAGAGGCCACCTCGACGCAGGGCTCAGCTGGAACACACGCACCTGGAGCCTGGACAGCGGGATGAGAAACAACTTAAGGACTTTGTTCAGCTCCAGCCTCTCCGACGTGCTAAACATGTCAGCGCACCTGAGAGGTCTCCTTTGCCTTTCAACAAACGGGTCTTCCAGAACGAGGTGGCTTGTGCAAAGCCGCTGCGACCTCATACACCGCATGCCCCACCTCCAAATAACAGCTGATTTAGGTTTTAAAAATACCATTATTGGCCGGGGGAGGGAACAAAACCAACCAAACAAAAAAGCCAAGCCACACAAAACCCTGCGCTGTGGGATTTTCTGGTACTTTGGCCTCTCTGGCGGCCCGTAGGAGGCCCCGGCGCTCCGTGAGCGCGGCGGGCGCGCAGGCGCAGCGGTGGCGGGGTGGGCGCGGGTCGGGGAGGGGGCGCGGATGGCGGCGGGGCCGCGCGATGCTGCGCTGGTTCTTGGCCGTGCTCAGCCACTCCTGCTTCGTCCCCAGGGGCGGCTCCATGTTCTACGCGGTGCGCAAGGGCCGGCGGACCGGCGTCTACCGCACCTGGTGAGCAAGGGCCGTGGTGGAGCGGGGAGCCCGCCCGGCCCGGCCTCACCGCTGCCCGCTCTGTTGCAGGGCGGAGTGCCAGGAGCAGGTGAACAAGTTTCCCTCCGCTAGCTTCAAGAAGTTCGCCACCGAGAAGGACGCCTGGACCTTCGTGCGCGCCGGCGTCCCGGGGCCGCAGCAGCCCGAGGCGGCAGGTAGCGCGTCCCGCCGCCCGGCAGGGAGCAGGGGAAGGCGGGCGGGCGTCCCGCCGGGGGCTCGGGGCGGGCACGGCGGCTGAGCCGGCGCTGCGGCCGCGGCCGGAACGCGGGCACCAGCCCCTGTTCATTCCTCGGCACTGGCTCAGCGCCGTGGCCATGGCCTCCGGACACGGCGATGCATGTGCCAATGCAGTGAAAGTGTTTCTGTGGGTGTTTGGAGAACGTTGCTTGTTCTGTGTACGTGTTAAAGTGTAAGGACCCTTGCATGTCTGTTTCCCCTTCGGTTTGACTTGGGATGAAAAATGACGAGTATTCTATTTCTTTTCGATAACAGTTGTGTGTGTGTGTGTCATATAAGGGGCTAACATTGCTAATAGTTGCTAACAACTGTTGTCTTCAGAAGCAATCGTTTGAAATAAATTAAATTTGATTCTGCTGAACTTCCTAACTTCCTTTTTTTTTTTTTTTTTTTAAGAGGCATTTGGTCCTCCAGCTGTAACACAAGAAAATGGTAGCCAGAGAGAGGAACCAGACTTAAATACCATGTGTTGCAGTACATGTAAAAGGCCATATGAACAGTCTACAAACGAAGAGCAGATTGCAAAGCGTGTAAAACATGATGAGTTACACTCAGTGTGCTCAATACCAACAGTCAATGGAGATAAGTTTTCATATATGGGTGAGGTCTTTGATCATTCCTTTAATTATTTTCATTTGTTTATTCTTTGTGACCAACAAGTGTAACTATTAGAAAACTTTTAGGGAGGTTTTTATATGCCAGCATTAGGCCTATTATTTCTTTTTGAAATGAAAACATGAACCGTGATCTATTTGTTTGCATTGTCTTTCAGTGTAATTTTGATTGGTTTTAACTGGTATGAATGTATAGCTTAAACATAGTGTTATAGGTGTGGTTTTATGTGTGTCTGGGCTACAGATTGGATGTTGCTTTGAAGTTTTGAAGAAGACATGAACTGTAAAGTATGGGACTTGAGGCAGAAGTTTTTGAGGCTGACTGGTTTGACAGCAGTGAGGCTGGCAAGCTGCAGTGGGACTTGTGGTGTTCTGCACTGCTAATTCACATGGCTTCTGCAGTTCCTTTTGGAAGGGCTCTCTGGGGAGGGAGGTTTTGGGGCTTAATATACTGGCAAACATTTCTTCTATCTTAAATAGTGTTTTTGAAGAAGTGCTGACTTTGATAATTTTTTTGTAGGTGACTTTGCAGTTGTTTATACAGATGGTTGTTGCTCTGGTAATGGACGTAACAGGGCACGTGCTGGAATAGGTGTCTACTGGGGACCAGGCCACCCTTTGTAAGTAGCTCAGTGTTTTGTTTTTTTTTTTTTTTTTAATAATGTGTTCTGTTTGGTTTTTATATGATTTATAATAAGCCTCCTTTTAAATTTTTTAATTTTAAAAAATTTTTTTAATTTATAAGCCTCCTTTTAAATGTGAAACTTGTTGTTGACACTCATAATGACAGTGTTATGAGACTGAGTCAGGAGATATTGAGGGGAACAGAGAAGGCAACCTCTCTGGGAAAAATCAACTGGAAATAATATTCTTGTCTTTATTTTTTTAATGTGTAGCCATTATACACCATTCTGAATACTTGGAATAACGAATCTACTGTTTGTTCTTTGGACACAGAAATACCAGTGAAAGACTTCCTGGACGGCAGACTAATCAAAGAGCAGAAATCCATGTAAGTAGCAAATGTCCTGAAATGCTTCTCCATGTTAGACTGCAGCTGCACTTTCAGGCCTGTTTCAACTCTGGTTTTCAGAAACCAGTATGGAGCTCTAAGAAAAGTATGCAAAATATTCAGAGTTATGACTTCAAACAAATAGTTATCTTCAAGTTTTATTGGTCTTTATTGGCTTTGAACTAGATAATTCACTTTGAGAATTTCCAAATGTCAGCAAGCACAGCTATTTAAACAGCCTTACATTAGAAAAGTCTTCACTCTCAACTCTGTGTAGATACTCTTGCATTTTTAATGTGTGTGTTTCAGACCGTAGAGTGAGGACTGCTGTGTATTGGTTGAGAGTCAGCTTCTTATGATGGCAGGATCAGAATATCATAATCCTTAGATAAACAAAACAAAACAAAACAAAAAAAAAAAAAACAAAAAAAAAAAACAAAACAAAAACAAAAAAAAACCAAACAATTTTAGGCTCCTAACTGCTATTGACTACAGCAGATTTAGTCTTCTCTTTTCATCTCCTCTTAATTATGGTATTTCTACTACCTCACACTCCATGTTTGGAGATGAACTGAAATGTGCAGTTGATCTGCTTAAAAACTACGAAGTTCATTTTAGCAGTGGTGTTGGGGTGCTAGTGGTCAGATTTGTCACTAAAGAGGTTTTCAGTTCTACATCCACACCCAGCCACTTCTCCCTGTAATGTTTCATAGTATCAAAAAAAAACCCCAACCTGTTAAGACATCTAGACTGCTTGAACTGATATGAATTCTTCCTCCCCAAAGTTTTGGAGAAAATGCCTTGGTGTTGATAGAGGTTTTGATAGTTAGAAAACAGGTTAGAGAGCTACTCCTTCAGCACAGAGTTGAACATCAAAATGTTATGAGGTTTTCTTTGCTATTGAAGCTTAAGTGCCTGCCTCTTTGCCTGAATCATAAATGTGTCATCTGCAATACACAGTTTTGGGATCCTCTACACTAAAACATGTTGATAACCATTGGTTGAGAGGTTACAGTAATATACGTAGTGTTAGTATCAGGTACTTTGTTGGCATTTAATTCCATGTGGTCAAAATCCTTTATGAACTGTGGTTGTTTTGAAATGTTTTTAAGGCAGCCTGCAAGGCAATAGAGCAAGCCAAGAGTCAAAACATCAAGAAGTTAATAATCTACACTGATAGCAAGTTTACTATTAATGGTAAGTTAAGGAATTTAATTTTCCTGATCCTTAAAGGCACTGCATGCTTTTTCATTACATAAGACCCACAGAACATTCTGAATCCTGGAGAGAGGAATGTAAGGAAGACAGTGCATAACTTACCACTTATGACTGCTTGGGGGAAAACTTCAGAGTATGAGACATTGCCTGCTAACTGCATGAAATAGAGTCAAAGTGTCTGTTACAGTAAATGCTGACAGAAGTAACACCAGGATTTGTGTCCTGAGGTGTTCAGTGTGACACAAAATGTAGAAAAAATGTCATTCATGTATAGGCTGTTAAGGCTGTACTCAGGAAATTACTTGGAAGTTGGTGTGGTAACCTGTTGGGTATTGGTTGTTTTGCATGTATTGGAGGCGCTGTCTTTAACACACACACCTGTAAAGTACATTCAAGTTCTCTTGCTTCCAAGCTTTTAGGCTACATTGGAAGACATCTCAGAGATATGTGCTCAGAGTATGTATTAAAAGACCTGGAAAACATAATTTTATTCTCTAATAATACCATATGAGGCAGCCAAAAAGACTTAATTTTGGAAAAAAACTTCTTTCTCTTTCCTCAAGATCTTCAGATTTTGTTCCTGTGATAATCTGGAACTACATAAGTGAGTATCTTTTAACTGGGAAAACTAAGTGTGTGTAACTCCAAATATACTAACTTTAGTCTGCTGTGCTTTAACTGTATTTCTTCTAAGGAAAATTGGTAAGAGAAGGTCTTTAAAATAACAATTTATAAATTGTTTTGCTCTGCAGTAAAGAAGTAAACTAACTTCTGTACAGGTATTTCTGGTAAAATGTATTTTTCTGTAACCTCTAATATCAGTGCTTAACACTTCAGGGAAATATATTCCATTGCCTCTAAAATTTTAGCCTAATTATGGTATAAGACCACTGATTTGAGAAAATGTGTGTACAGTTGATTTTTGTTGCTAATGGCATGTTTATTCGGCTTCTGTCTTTATGCAATTTTTATGGGAATTTATTGCAGGTATCCATGTTGCTCTGTGTTACAGAGTTGGTGGCTGCAATTTACAGGCTGGTTAGATTTTTATATATATATATATATCTGTATTTTATATAGATACAGATTTTTCTCCTATATGCTATTGAGGAGAAAGCATAAAAATTTAAAGACCAACTAAGTTCAGCTGTTCTTGGGAATATGTTACATAACTAAAAGATATTCCTTTATGCACACTTGTTAAATCTGAATCTTTTAGAAAAGGTGGGATGAATTTTGTTTCAGGAGGCGTGTATGCATACAGAGTCCTCCGTGGGCTGCAGGCACATCTCTGCTCCTCTGTGGCCCTCCTGGGCTGTAAGGGGGACAGGCTGACTGACCATGGTCTGCACCACAGGCTGCAGGGGAATCTCTGCTCGGGTGCTTGGAGCACCTCCTCCTTCAGCATTGACATTGGTGTCTGCAGAGCTGTTCCTTTCACATATTCTCATTCTTTTCTCTGGCTGTTGTGCAGTATTTTCACCATTTTTCTTAAACATGTTATCACAGAAGAGCTTTGCTGATGGGGCTGTGGGTCCCTTTTGGAGCTGTCTGGATCTGGCTCACTCTCATGTAGGGGCACTGCTCATGTCTTTTCACAGAATCCACACCTACAGTCCCCCACGTGGTACCAAAACCTTGCCATGTAAATCTTAATGTCACTTCACACCCACTTCATGCTTATCCCCTCTGAGATCTTGTCAAATAGCAAGTTTGATTTTCTTCCTCACCTTCCTACTCTGCCCTTAGTTCTGACAAGGATGAACTTAGGGTATAAAGTTTTTTTCAGTTACTAATTGACGGATGGACAATTAAGACATCTGAAAATTGAGAGGATCTTTTAATATCTTATGTATGTATCCTAAGCGAGTGGTGTAACTACCAAGGCTTTTAGTGGTATAGAGGACTTTAGCTTTTAGGGGAAGATAACTCAGTTTAACCACTGAATGCAGGAAGGTGGGAATTTTGAATTGGAGCTGTTGTCTGCATTTCTTAAAGGATAGGTTAGCTAGTCCTTATGCTTTTCACTAATTCCCATAAAGATGATAGTCACAGTTTGGCAAGAGGAAGAGAGACAATGAAAATCTCTGGGAAAAAAAACCTAAGGGCTAAATATTAGGTGAGGACCTCTGAGGAGTTGCTCCTGTACTATCAATGACAGAGCATTGCTTTATCAAATTTCATCTACTTTTTTCCTGGTTTCTTCCATATCTAACAATGCTGTATTTTGTCCTGACAGATGCACATTCCTGGTCATGCTGGCTTCCAAGGAAATGAAGAAGCTGACAGACTAGCAAGAGAAGGAGCTTGTAAACCAAAGTGCTGATGGCCTGGGACTAGAGACTGTTGCACTGGGAGGAAAGGGCCTAACATGACAGCAGCAATTTGAACTGCTGTAATTGTTTTGGAGTTGAACTTCGAGCTGTACTTCTTTCTGGCCTGAAGCACTAAATATAAACAAACATCTGGGAAGGAAAACCCCAAATTTTCTTCTATTGCATTTGTTTTACAATTAAGGCAATATTTAGTTGATGATACTGAGTATTTGTTTTTTCTCCATCTATTGGAATGGCTGTGGTCAGTGCTTTTAGCTATCTTGTGTACTTACAAACTCACCTTAAAGACAGGCTTCTGAAGAAGTAATTTTAAATCCAAGTGTTATGTATTTCCCCCTTAATTAAAGAATTTTTTTTGAATTTTTTTTTTTTTTTTTTTTTTTTGTGCAGAGGTATTTATTGCAGCCCAAAACAGCTGGGGCAGACTTTGGGGTTGGTTGATTCGGTAGGAGGTCACCTAACACAGATGTCCATTGGTCTGCTCTGGCATTCTGGTACTGGCAATAACTGCTCCACTGATGGGCTTGTAACACTGACCTGAGTGTGCCTCACAGTGTCAGCTACAGCACCAGCAGCTTTCTTTTATCATGTTATTTTGCAGGGTAGCATGAATAAGCCAGGTCACAAGAAAACAATGAATTCTTACTGTTCTCTCTACCTGATTCATGTCCAAGCTCTTCATCTCTGGCTTCCTGTTTCCATTAAGTAGGGGTTTTTTTTATGCATACTGGTTCTTGTTAGCATTGTTAGTTCCTCTTCAGTGTTGTCCCAAAGGTAGTAATTAACATTTCATCTGAAATGGGACTAGAAGATAAGCTTCTCCATACCTTCCAGATCTCAAGTGTTTCACTTCATTTTTTCCAGTCAATTATGAGATTAATGGAATGGCTAATGTGCACTTGAATTGGAGAGTAATTACCAGTAATTAACACGGGTTTATTTTCTATGCAAGTGTACAGGAAAAGCAAACAGGTTTGTTGTGTTAACTGTGTCAACTTCTCTATATGGTACCTTTATACCACTGAATAGCAGGGTTTAAGCTATGAGTCACTGAAATGTTTTTGGATTTGTTAATTTCTATATAGATGGTTAGAGCTGCAGAAGTTTGTTACTTAATAGTTCTCATGAATTATAATATCTTTCCTGAGGCAAAGTGTGAGGTTTTACATATTTAGTCACATGGTTGGAGAAGGAGGAGGAAACTGGCTATCCAGTAGTTAACAGGTCAGTGAGGATTTTTATTTTTTTCTCTCATCCAAAACTGCACAGTGAAGGTCATCTAGGGGTAGAAGAGGGCACTGATTGGGCCCCCTCTGCTTCTTTGTATGTATGTACACAATTATCTATTTACTTTAGAAGTTTGGCTGCAAAGAAAACACCCATCACCCTGACCAGATTTCTAGTAACTTGCCTTGATTACCTGACTCTAATAGGTAGATTATATTAGAAAATCGAATAGGACAGAGTTTTACATCAATTTCATATGAATGTTTATTCTTATTCTGAAAATTCAGGACTTAAGAAAGCTGAGAGGGAGGTTACAAGATTAAGGCTGATTAAAGGATGGAAAACAAATAGTACTTCTCAAAAGGACTTAACAGGGGCTTGAGGGCGTGCAGAGGATGGTGGATGTTAGGAGTATCTTCTCAGAGAACTGCAACTTTAGGAGAATATTGGCATTTAGTAGCCACGATATTCAGTGCTGGCTGTCCCAAAACACCTACTTGTCTTCCATGTGCCTTAGCACAGCTTCTGTAGAGTATGTTTGATAACCATTAGTGATTTAACATAAATACTACACATTAAAAGGATCTGGTACCTTTTCATGAGAATTGGAGTAGTAGTGGTTGAGAGACCACATAAGTAAGAAAGTCTTTATGAAGAAAAAAATCTAAGAAGGGGTTGTTTCAGTTGTCTGGACATTCTTATATTGTACTTAGCTGGCTCTTGATTTATTTGCCATATAGGATCAGGTAGATGCAGAAGTGTGGAGGCTGAAGGGGACACACCCCAGGGTGTCTTTTCACTCCTGCTCAGGGAGGATGCTGAGGATGTATCCTCATGGACGGAGACAACACAAGTTATCTGTGCAAGCATGTCTTACCACTTTCTTTATTTTTTCTCCTAATTTCTTTTTTATTTTTCCACATTGTGGGGTTGCAATGCTGGCCTTTAAGCCTGAGCCGTACCAGTAAGTTCCGTCAGAGCATCACAACGAGGACCGACACAATGCAAACACCGTGGCCGTTCGCTCGGGTTACCCCGGGGGGCTGGTGCGGGTGAGAAGCCCCGAGCCCCGGCCTGTTTCTGGGGGACTTTCGGCGCTCAGCCTGGAGCTGTTCCCTCAAGCGAAAGCTCCGCACCGCAGCCTGTTCAGCGTGTTTAGGGCGGCCCATGGCGCCCCGATAACGCTTTGCCCCAGGCCGCGGGGCGGGCCCATCCCACTCGCCGCCGGGCCCTGGAGCCCGCCGGGGCGGGACGCGCTGGCAGCCCGGCCCCGCGGACACTGTGGCGGCGGGATGGTGGAGGCCTGGTACATGGACGAGTCCCATGAGGACCAGCGGGCGCCGCACCGGCAGCGGCCCAACCGCGCCGTCAGCCTGGAGGAGCTGCGCCGCCTCGGCGTGGTGTACCGCAGGGTGCGGCGGGGCCAGGCCGAGCCGAGCCGCGCGGGGAGCGCCTTGCCGGGCCGGGCCGGGCCGGGCCGGCGCAGAGTGAAGGCCGCTGGGGCGGGGGCAGGGTGCAGGCACCCCGTGTCCTTGTGGCAGCTCCCCCTGCAGCGGCCGACCCGCCCCGGCACTGCCGGCACCTCGGGATTCCCGCGAGTGCCCGGAGTTCCGCCTTTAGCAATGGCGTCCGATTGTTTTTGGTTTTGTTGTTTTTTTTTTCTCCCCTTCTCTGTCTATTTTTTTAGTTGGATGCTGATAACTATGAGACTGATCCATGCTTGAAAGAGATTCGGAGAGCAGAAAATTATTCTTGGATGGATATAGTGACTATACATAAAGACAAGCTTCCAAATTATGAGGAAAAGGTACGCGAAACTTGGCTTTCAGTGCGGGTTTCCGCGCCGGCCAGCGTGTGACACCTGCACAGCCCAGCGGGACACGGGGGTGAGGCTTCCACGTCTAAAATACATCCTGTACCGAAGTCCTGAACATTAGAAAAGAACCTTTGATGTAATTTTAAAGATAGTAGAG